GAAGATGAACCAATGCGAATTCGTCGATGAACACGAAGAATCACCAGTGGTGCTGAAAAACGCTTTCGCTGAAGAGGATAGAACGTCGCTACAGGTTCATAACTTATTCTCCGCAATAATATTGCGCTACGAAGGAAGATATTTTTTGCCTTTCATTCAGCTACAAAGCCAAAAGATCTTATTAGGAATGCAGCTATTTTGGTACTTCCGATGAACAAAAATCATTCTTATGTAATACTTTTGACATGTGTCAATGATTCTCGTCAGTGTGATATGCTCTTTGCAGTGTGTCGGATGCAGTGAATTGAAAAACAAGACTGGATTATGACACAGAATCATGAGGCGCTAAGAAATACATCATAGCGCTCCGTTATACTGATATGAGTGTGTGACATTAGTGGATGAACAGTTTTCAGCTGGAAATAGATATTACTGGTGTTCAAAAAAGAAACATGTTTCTCATTCACAATATTTTACAATGTGTTTATTTTGACGCTCTCAAGACATTGGCTGTGGAATCGTGGAATGTATCGCGCAATTTTTCATTTATCTCTTATATCTACGCAGAGAATTGTCGTCCTGTCGTTAGCACAAACAAAGTCGTCACTATTTGCAATTTCGGATAGAGCAATGACAATGCTGTGAGAAAAACTAAAATTCAGAGTGCAATAAGTGCGATATTTCAAAAACATCTCATAAAGTACTTCTCTGGATATTGCTTGTTTCCTATCAATAATTTCGAAATCTATTTTCTTCACCAAAAAAAAACTCTTTTGCTTTCAAAATTCTATGGAATTTTCTTCTCCTTGTATAATCGATATCATTTCTTTTCGCGATAATTTCATGCTTATGACTAGGAGTTTTGCAATATCATTATTTGCAATGCTGAAAATGTTTGGAAATTACTTTGCACTGGTCGCTGCTCATAGTTAATATCTTAAGGGCATCATGAGATAAACTTCTTCAGTGAAGAGATGAATGCAAAGCAATTTCGAGTACGTAGGCATGCATACATACATAATACATAGCTTCAGTAACCATATCGTTTTATCAATAATGAAATTGAGTAATCAGTCTGGGAGTAGTCCTCAATAGTGTCGAGCCTCTTCGAAAGTACTGACGATTCCTGATGCTTATGAATGATAATTTATGAAGAAAGAGCTTGCAATAGTTCATGCGCTCTCCAGTGAATCCTACTCTCCTATCACGAGCAAAGAGCAAAATTTGTTGCTCGGTGGCAGTGCAGAATATAAATTAAGTTCGACATGAGACGTCGAGCCGCTCAGAAGTGGCTGCACGAGCATATGTCAATGGTCTAGCAAAAAATCAACGAGCAAATCTAATTTATAGCCTTTTCGAGGTTGCTTTCATTGAGCGATTGTTGCTTAAGAATTTGTCATAAATCTCTTGCCATCACGAGTGGCAACGACGTTGGTGGTGTTGCTGTTGCAGCATTCATCAGAAGACTGGGAACTGAACTCGACACAATTGAAATTCTTACGGAGATAGAAGAATATTCCAGGTTTCTGGATACAAACCACGAGACTAGTCAAACCAATCTACTATTTCTGATATAAATTCCATTCAGCATTTGAAGTTCACTTGTAAGATTTAGCATTTCTGATGTGATTTGAAAATCAGTATTCCTGATATCAATCCAGATGTCGAAACTAAGCCCTTTTTGAATATCTCTTAAATTGAGATATTTTTGTGTCGATCTTTAATGAGATCAAACTTTTGTCAGAGATTTTGGACCGACGAAAAAATCGAACTCACGCCTTCTGAACAGATCGAATCCTCAAAGCCCAGCGTTACACCAATACACTGTCGGTCCATTGCTGGATCTTTCTTATTTGATTTAAGTACTCTTCTTTTGAGTACTATCTATCATTATATGCTAGCTTTTCGCGTTAGTCGCGACACCAGAATTTCTGATACATCGATTTCATTCACTACAAGATGATTCCAAAGTAATCATATGAATTCATTTTTGCTTTTCAATAGATCACTTAACGGATTACGATTGAATGTTAAATTAGTAGAAAATTTATCAGTTATGTGCATAATTGGCACGAGAATTAAATTTCTCTAATGCAGTTTCTTCGGCAGCACATGAAGTCTGCCCTTTTCCTCGTCTTGCAGACTACGGCTTTGGCATAATTAAGTATTCCTAAGTGATGGGTGAACGATTCATTCCGCATTCTATTCAGTGTTACGATGTTTTATTCAACCATTATTCATCTGCTACTTTAGACGGATGAATCCACGTAAGACATTCAAGAAATTTCTCATGTTGCCATAAGAAATATCAAATCTTATATTGTACAAGATCAATAGTATCAACAAATGCATGTAGATTAGAACGATGCTTTTAGTTGAATATAGCAGTGCAAATAGTTTTATGTAGATGGGATATATGCTGGTAATAATTATGCCATAAAAGTATACTGCAATATTGCGAAGTGAACTCTGCATTATAAGTAACAGAATGCAGCATTCTGTAGCAGTTTAATTACATCGCAAATTATTTTGCAACGAATGTGTGAAGTACACAGTCATAAATGCATGCGTAGAGCATATAAATCGCTCAGCTTAAGACTCTCAGCATGCATTATGGAATTGGCGTCCTGCACAAACTTGCTTGAGATCAATCAGAGGCTTCAAGACAAGCTTGACCTAGACATGAGGATTGATTAGGGAATGCTGATAGAGTATCACTGACGGTTCAGTTGTTTCCGCATGTGATATCGTAGTTACTGGGTGGCTTGAGGATGACAATTTGAGTTATATGAATGAATGAATGCTTGCCTCTTAGCTGGGACAATGAGTAACGGATGCACACAATTTATGGGTTGAACGTAAACATGTCTGACGTCAGTAGACTAAATGGTGCAGTAGTTACAGGATATAGCCGCTTGATAAGTAGCGAACGTAATCTATTCAAGAGCTTGATTGCACAGAGATATTTCGAGTAATCTTATGATGTCATCAAATAAGTGAAAGCTGTTCAACTATCAGAGCTGTGCGATAGGTGCAGTATTCTGGGGGAAAACCGTTGGACACTGCAGGATTCATGCATGAAGATCCTTAATAAAGGCAGTAATCTTAGTTGAAGTAGACGTTTCAGATGATCGTTTTATTTTGCAGGCATTCGATGATGGTGGTGAGGACGATTGCGCAAGTTGCATGAACATCATCTTGAGTACCTCGTCTGAGGACCTGACCCTGAGACCAACTCGGTCGATTTTAAAGAAAAGTAAAGAAACGAGTAGTTGTGAAGTAAAGGTAATGAATACTCCTCCAAGCAGTTCATTCAATCCGATGTTTTATGATTTGATAATTGCTAGGTGTTGAAGTGGCCTAGTTTGTGAAGTTCCCAGATTATCGAACTGCTCATCCATCAAGCTACCGCATCGGCTGACTGACCAAGAGGATGTGATAAATCACATAGAATCGGAGGAAACTCTCTGCTTGTAAGAAACAGATTGCGCAGAATTTGAGTCAAACTAGCTACAAAACGGATCCCAATATTCTGTGATCTTCAAACAAGATCATCGGAGTTTTTCGGCTGTTTATAAGAGGTTCTCTAATGGTAAGTTTAAGGCTCGTTCAAGTCGATCCAAATCAGTGACCTTCAGTATGCCGGATGAAACACCGCCACGGAAAAGAAAGGAAAGGAATCCGATCCGAAAGGTTCTTCTTTCCGTCGGCATTTCTTCTGATTCTTTTTTCGCTCACTCAACAGGGATGTGCAGCTTCAGACGATTTCGTACGCTTACACCCTAAAAATGTGCAGTTCTGTCAATGATACTGATACACCACTCGGTTGCGAGCGAAACTTTCCTTCACGAACGAGAATCGAGCCCATACCAATATCTTTGAGGATGTGAGCCTGAGCCAGGCTATGATCCGGCTTGTACCTATTATCCAGTTATCTGTTATTATTCGTGATATTCTATTCATAACTGTGCACTGGCTGCAGGTTTTCGAGGTGTTCGATCGAAAATGCTCCAGTGTTGACTTGTCGACAACTGCCACCTCATCGATGAGTGCACCTCATAAGCTGAGGTTGAATTTTGCGGATCGAAAAAGCGATGGAAAATTTGGTGAATCATCAGCTAAAAGTATGTTGAATTCAGTTCAAGCTGTCACCACACGCAACACCTATCGTTTGATTGCTTCTTTTTTTCGGTGCTGAAAGGATTGTCAGCTGACTTCGTAAACAAATTTCGACGTATTTTGCAAGAAATCAGCTGTCGAAGCGCAAAATTTCTCCACTAAGATTGTGGCACCGTTCTGTCAAAATCAATTCTAAGTTGCGTTTTGCTAAGGAATCATTCTGCACATCATTCGGCTGGGATCAATTTTTGATGACACGTGAGAATGTTCGTCCAGTTCAGCTCTCAGTTAAAGTTGTGAGATGTATACAAATAGAAGGGCAAAAATTATCACAAGAACACTCATTCAACTGCACCATGTGCTTTCGTTCTGATTCATCGATTACTATTGATATCCGTCGATAGCAATCGACAATTTGTTTTCAGCGGAATCGAATTTACCGCATTGGATAACGTACTTGCAATTGAACCAACGGAAGCGCATTAATCAAATGGAACGACCAAAGCGTTCGGATTTGAAGCAGTCATCGGAATCGGGTCGTTTCTTCACGTATCGATCGCATTCCCTCAATTCACCATCGAAGGGTGGAGCACCTTTCAGTGTGACACAATACAGGCACTATGATCATCCATTCTGGATCAGTTCTTACGGAGAGGATTTGAGTCGACGAAGTTCGTTATCTTTCTAAACGTGTTTATGTGGACAGCATTAAGATTTACAGTGTAATTTTATTAATCATTTATACGATAGGTCGCAAGGATCGGATCATATAAGAAGCATTCACAATTTTCAAGCTATTCAAGACCGATCAATTGAACTGTTAATGCCTCATTGCTTCTCTATTAATACTCGCAAGTAGTGTTCGTCGGGGAGCAGTTTTTCGCACGGGGGGGGGTCCTGCGAAAAAGTCGGAGAGCAAATTGCGCGGGGGGGACGTCCCCGCTGGGAGGAAATTGGACGGGGG